CGTTCCATCGAACCGAGGGAAATCGACGGGTTTCCGGCGGGGCAAAGTGAAACGGAGCACGACAACGTTCGATCAACGTCGGAATCGGGTCCGCGCAGATCTGTAACTCGATTACGCAAACTAATGATAGACAGCGACGTAGCATTTACGGATTATTTCGAAGGTGCGCTCGCTGCGGGAAGATCCGAGAACCGGATAGCGAGGTGCCAAGTTTCATAAGCACGTCCTTGCTTATCGGTCTGTCCGTATCGGCCTGTAACCACGCGGGTTCCTCTCGCCTGCCGCCAACCCCCCGCTTCTATACGCTCGATAACGTACAGTACACACAATGAGCCGCGGAACGGCACGCTGGAAACCGTCTAAACGGCTTATCAGCCTTCATCGGGTAATATCGGTGCTTGAACCTGAACGTAATGGTTATGAGTAATAGCCAGAGATCGTGGCGGAGCGGCGCGGCGCGGAGCTGGGTCGGACCCGGTGAACCGTACACGGAATACGAGATTCAGATACAGGTACCAAACTTAACTTAACACGCCGCGGCCCGTTACGCATTATCCGGCTTGGCCAGTGCTCTCTGCCACTGATTTGTCTATTGTGCCGCCACGACGATTGTTCGTGCCCGATCCCGAATTCGAGTCTGTTCCGGGCGAAATGCAAAATCAGCAAACAATGCCTGTCTGTACCGGTCTGTACCAGTTACGTAAGGCTCTCTAGTCCACTTATCGTTTGAGAGTCCGATATTGTTTAGGAGATCCATCGACCGTACGGATGGATCGATCAACTGTCCAATACCCGGATGTTTCTTTTAGTAAATCAATTTCTTTCTTCTTTTTTTTTTTTTGCTCCTTGAGGAACGATGATCTGTGAATCGACCTGTTGATCGCCCGTTTTATCCCGGGCATTTATTATTCGATAAACGAGCAATACATGCCTTTTAATCTACTTTAAAGCGATTTCCTACTGCCGTTTGTCTACGTATTTTGTAATTTCGATTGCACATTATGCACACGGTACAGTGGGATCAGACCGCTTTCAGCGCTCTGCCTGAAACGAAAATACGTTGGGTAAACGCCAGTTTCCCGGATCGAGTGCATCGATCTCAGCGGCTACTTTCGCATTTCACGGTTTCGTTTCTCAGGTCGGCCGTGCAGAAATTACACGTTAGGACGACGACGAACCTTCCGATCGTTTCTCTTACTCTTGGATTAATCGAACGGCGAGACCGGCGGCAAGCAGAGTGGCCACTCTACTCAAATGTTCGTCGATTTAAAGCTCATTAGCATGATTTACATAAACGGAAGTTCCATTAAAACGAGCCTAACGGTCGGCCGAGCCGACTTACTTTTCCCTAATCGCGGCACATCGGAGTCTCGATCGGTGCCTCGCCTGCCTCGTTCGATTTCTCACGTTCTCGCTGATAAGATCGCGATAAAATGCACGCGCAACAGGCTCGCAGCAAGTGTATTCGTTCACGTGACCTCGCGTTCGATAAATAAAGTCGGTAGCGGGGTATTTATCGACGCGGATGCACGCGAATACGCGACGAGCATGAGCGCCAAAAAAGAAAATCTACAAAAATTCGCGAGCTCTTTGCGTCTTTGAATCAAATTTTTCTTTGTTAAAAAAAAAAAAAAAAAAAAAAATCACTGAAAAGCGTGAATGAATGAATGAATGAATGAATGAATAACCGTGCGGCTGCGACGACTGAAACAAACGTGAAGGAAACTGAATCTCTGAAACGCGTACGATAGATTTCCACTTCGTAAGCGTAAATGTCATTGAATAACAAAGTTTACCTAGAAGATCTGCGAAGAAGGAAGAACAAGAGAGTGCTCTTATTTCGATAAGAGGTAACTGTTACCCGGGGAGATTCAAGTCGTGCTCGACTATGGTATTATACTACCAAATGACTCGATTAAAATGCACCCCCGACGAATCTACATATCCTCTGGAACAACAAAAATGCATTCATCCCCGGATCACCGGTGAAGAGAAAGAAAGAAAAAAAAGGAGAGAGAGAGAGAGAGAGGACAGCATTGTCGAAAGGGGATGGCGAATAAAGTCCGTGGAGTTTTATCGGATGGATCGATAGAAGCGATAAATATGCGCGTATGCGGTTGATTGGACGAAGCGCGACTGCGATCGGTCGTCGCGATGACCAGACAAACGCGAGCCAAGGGGAAAAGAGGCCGAGAGGCGGAGGGTGGAGGGATCCGAAGAAAGAGAAGGCGATTCATTAGTCGTACAACACGGAAGTGTTCGAACCGCACGGTTCCTCGACGTGTGTCGGCTCCGGCGGCCGATGTACGTACGTACATACGTACGTACGTACGTACGTATGTATGTGCGCGCGCGAGAGAGAGTGCTCTGTTCGTGCGTGGCACGCGTGTGTGCGTGGCTGGAGGAGGCTGCAGGGCCAAAGTCGGCTGTGGACCCGGCGGAGGGCCTTATTATGCGCGACGGGGGCCCCCTGGACGAGGCGAACTCGACGTTTCGGTCGATCCGGCTCAACATTAAAACACGGAATATATTGCGGTAATTCTTTCTGTTCGACTCTGCCGGTCGAGGATCGTGTATCGGCAGAGCCACCGCTTGCTCTTCCTCTTTCCTTAAGCGGATGGCATATCAGAAGGACACTTCTCGACGAGTCTACGTAGACTCTAGCGCGGGTCCAGACGTTCCAACGACAAGAAAACGCTGCTATCCGGATCCGTCCCCTGTTAGCTACAATTTCAAAGTTGTCCTCGCTTACGTATGTCCTCGCTTCGAAACCTCGGTACTTTCGCGATATGTCATGCCGGTTCTTCCTGTTTTTTTTTTTTTTTTTTTTTTCTTTCTGTTTGCGACCGAGTATCTTCTTGATTCATCGATACTCTATCAAAGACTTCTTCGCGAGCAGAGGAGCAACTTTGTGAAGAATTTTCTTCACGCGTCCGTAACAATGTGCACGATTTAGAGGCTCGTTCGCTCGCCAGAATTTCGTTCGCTACACCGTTTGCTCTGTTAGATCGGCCGGTAGAGATTAATAAGAACATCGCGATCGTCTAGTTCGGCGACGGTGGAATTTATTTGGAACACGATAGCGTTATTAATTCACCGTGGTCCTTCGGACAAACCTCGTTGTTCCTCGAACTCGTGCTTGTTACCGTGTTGTACCAATTTACGATGTCCTTCCCGGTGTGTTTCGCCGTGTGAATCGTTTATCGGCTGTCCCGGTGCGGGAATAGTTCCGTCGTGTGTTGCGGTAAATAACGAGGCTACACGCGCCTCGAGCTCTTCGTTCGATCGAGGATGCGGAGAAAAAAATCCACGATCTAAATCATTTTTTTTCCCCCGAGCTATGTTTACCGGACGTCGTGTGGGCGACTCCTCGGTATACGAAATAACGTTTGAATTATGATAATTCCGTCGAACGAAAAATTGAAACATCCTGCTTCGAATTTAAACAAGCACCTTGAACGAGTGGTGCTGACCAATAACTAACGAGATCTCTCGTTTCTCATTCGACGCGTTAACTGCAAAGATCCTTTTTCATCCTTTGCCTAAACTCGGCTGCACAGGCTCGACGTCCGCCCACTGCTACACACCCCTGCACCGAGTATTTCGCAAAAAGCCTCAGTCTCATAAATAATTGCCAACCAGTGCGGCGTTCCTTGGCAGTCGTAGCTGAGAGGTGTCACGGAGAGGTTTCTACGAAGAAACGCGAGTTTCCCCCCTTGGATCGCCTACATACGCGCAATCTGTCTGAGCCCACGGTTGTCTGTACTCGGTTGCCGATAATATCTCGCGACCGTTTCTCGAATTACAAATGATAATTACTCTCACGGAGAGATCGTGCTCGTCTTCGCGTTCAGTTGAAATCACGACGAGCACGCTGACGTAGCCCGACCTCGTCGTCTCGGATTCCACGGTCGACTATTAGCGAACCTAGGCCTTCTCACGCACCGCAAGGACCGCGAATTCTGCAGATTGCTTTTGCTTCCTGCTTCGTCGCGGCTCATTCTCCGGCTGCCGATCAACCGGTATACCGTTGGCTATAATCCTCTGCCTCGATGCACGGACGCGGCCGGCAGATTAGGCGACCACGTTGGATAATGATTGTCGGATGGTTCCCACCGGTTGACCAGGATCCCTTCGGAACCTTCGGTGACAGCGTTCGCTGAGATTTATTTCGAGCGGCGACCGAGGAAACGGCGATCGATACTGGACCTAGATTACGCTTTCGTAGGCTGACATGAGTTTCGTCAATGCCACCAGCACGGCGGTACAATGCTCGTTTCAATTTCAAACGACAAATTGAGATAAACTGTTATTTAATTGGTACCCCTCCTGACATTTGATCGGAATCGTTAACGAGAGCGATTGTCACGTGGAACATTGTTTTTCATTTCAAAGGCGACGTTTCGTTGATTCGTTCGATCGTTGTACATTATCCGCGAATAATTCGGAATGGCTGATAGCTCCAAATTATCGATATCGTTATAGGATTTTCTTAAACCGCGTTTCGGCTGCCAGACTTTGCGCTAACGTTCTCGTCACGGTTCGTGCAACTTTTAACAAGGCGTATAACGGTCTTTTGACTCTAATTTCACACGTTTCTCCAACGTGTTGGTCGAGCAATGCGGCTTACGTATTTTCGAAACCGTGAAATTCCTTCCGCAATTGATCAGCGTACACGTATCAACGATATCAAACAGAGACGGTCAGACTGAGACGGTCTACTTTCGACACTTTCGAGTCAACAAATCACCGACCCCAAGTATTACTAGCTGGACGAAGAAAATTTCAATTTTGAATGTACGGAATTAACGTCGTTGGTAAACTTGGTTCGCTTCGACACCTCAAAAGCAAGGGAATGAAAGAAAACGCTCGAGATTTGTTCGTCGCACGAAACAGATCTCGAGACGATTCGAGCCTCGTGCGTTTCTACTTAAACGCATTACCTCGTAACAGGTGTAATTTTACGGGCCGTGTCTCCTTCGTATGGTCTGTTTTCTTACCTGTTGCACTGCCTCTTGAGTTCCCGCCGGATACTGCTGCGCGTGCGGATGAACCTGAACGCTCCGCTGCCCAGCGAGCTCGCTCTCTTTTCTCCCTTCTCGAACATTGGCAGCCACTGCTCGGCCTGCAGGCCATTCCGCACGTTGTCATCCATATCTGTCGGACCGTCGGTCGGCCGCCGCCGCCGCCGCCAAGCAGATTGTCCCTGTCCCGGTCTGTTTCTTTCTCTCTCTCTCTCTCTCTCTCTCTCTCTCTCTCTCTCTCTCTCACCGTTCCTTCGGAGTCACTTCACCGCACCCGTGTCGAGAAATGGAACCGTCGAGTTTACCTCCTGTCGTCGTCTCATCGCAGTGCGTAGCAGCCTTTAACCTCTAACGGACTGGTCAAGTTTCTCGAGACGAAGCCAGGTTCCTCTCTTGATTAAGCGAGCATCGAACCGCGGAAAGTAATAGTCGAGATGTTGACCGTCGATCGATAGCGTTCCGACGTTCGTCTCGGCGCGTTCACGTTGCCTCGTCGAGTGGAACGATCTGCTCCTGTCGCATCTCTCTCCGCGAAACGATTGTTTTTAGAGTGACGGTGAGGCCGATCCGTGTTTACGTCAGTTGACGGCACTCGCACGTTTCCGCTATTATCCCGCGATGAAATTACGCCTACTGCCGCAAGTTCCGTCTAGGCAAAGCGTCTCCCGGTAGCCGCCTGTTGGATCTGTTGCTCTCGATCGCGATTTCCAGATTACTCATGCGCGTGGCGTAGGCCGAAGCGAATTACATAACGGCCATCCTCGTACGCACGCAGCGACGACGCGCGTGTGCACGCACGAGCCTCCTCGTGGCAGTGTAGCCGGTCTCGCGGCTCGCGCGACCGGTCTCTCGTCCTACCAGTCGACTTTGTCCAAACGATCCACCGATGCCACCCTGCGCACCTTACCTTCGCACACACTGTGCCACGCTCGGCTCCGTGTCCGTTTTCAATGTCCAGTGCTCGTGTTTGTGTCCGTGTCCGTGTCGATGTCCCTCTACTTTTTGACGCTCGACTGAATCGAGCACGATGCTCTTTCACGAAATCGAATTTTCGGTGGTTAACGGTGTATCCTCCGGTTCTTCCACGAACATCTCCTCGCCCCGTCGAAACACACCGTGTAGATACACGCTCCGGACGATGTTCTCCTGCCTCTCCACAAGCAAGACTCCCTCTTTTTCTCTCTTTCTCTTCTTCTCTCTTCCTTCTGCTATTAGCGAAACTTGCTATTGCTGCAACCTCGACGAATACGCGGAGAAACACGATCCACCGAGATATCCAACCTCGTAACCGGCAACTCGCGATCTCGTATTTCGTGGGCCGACCCGGAAGTTTTCGCGCGGACGGTCACGAACGGACGCCATCACGATGCCGAATACCGCTGGTTTTCGTACCGTGCCGCACGATATGTTCCCTCACGATCCCACGCCGCGGGCTGATTTTCGGTCGGCCCGGTCGAAAGATCGCGACACACGCATTCTCGACCTCCTCGAGATGCCAAAGCCAACACGTTTCGGTGAAGTTCCGAAGAGGCGAGTTTTCACCGGCGATCGCTCGCCGTCTCTTTTTCCTTTCTCCTTTTTCCTTTTTCGTCCAAACTCGAGAAGCTACGGCTCTCTCTCTCTCCTTCGAGAAAGACAGAGAGAGAGAGAGAGAGAGAGAGAGAGAGAGAGTAGCAGCGGTAGAGTTCCGGCTTGGTCGGAGAGTCGCGTGCACTTGGCCGCGCGAGACGAACGTCTGATTACTCGTTACCGCACTGGCAGGATGTTCCGGAGTAACGTTGAACGTGCGCTCGATGTGGAATACCGGCGTCGGTGCATCGGTTCACCGTTCGCGTTCACGGTACCAGCAGCAAATGTGGCCTCGAGTGGTAGCGCTCTGAAGCGACACCTGTGAGGAGACGCTACCCTCTTCCTCTTCTTCTCGTGCCTTCTTCCACGCCGCTGTGTTCGCCCACCTCCTACGTCGGCCCCTCCTCCGCCTCCTTCTTCTTGTTTATCTCGATAACGACGGTACCGTGAACACCCTCGCCGCTGCTTCTAGATCGTTAAGGGGCATCGCTGCAACGTCAGTGAAAGGAGATGGCGATCGCCCTCGCGAAATTGCCACCGACGTCTCCCTGCGAATTTTTCCTTCTCCAACGCGTTCTTTCGATTTTCGTTTTCTCTCTCTCGTTTTCTGTTTTTTTTTTTTCCTTTCTACTTTGTACTCTGTCAACAGTGTATTTCCAATTACGGAGACACTCGCGGTGAAGACGCACAAGCCGTAGCAGCAGCAACGACGATGATTATCAATCACGAGCACAGGACCCCCATTTCCTAATATACTTATTCGTTCGCCGGCTCTTTCGAGCCGCGTTTTTCGATACACTTGTCAATTAACGACGGGCAAAAAGCCCGTCCGTCGACTCGGCGTCTCGCGTCTATAATAGAGACGCGAGAGGATCTTAACGATTATTACAGGGAATAAAACTACACGCGTCAATCGACGTGATCGGGCAACATCCTCTCGCAATAAAAGCACGTAGCGACCGTGCGGTGTACCAACAGCAACTGTCCGGCGTTCCCTTTTCTCTTCTAACCCTGCGCGCGCTCGAGTTCGAGTTCGAGTTCCTCCGCGTTGGCTTTCTTGCCCGTTCCGATCCTTCTGCCCGTCGTCAAGCTCGTCGAATGCTTGCTTCTCTCACTCCGTATATATACGTACTCTCTATCTGCGTATGTGTCTGTCTGTCTTTGTCTGTGTGGTGTATGTGTGTGTGTATGTGTGTGTGTGTGGATACACCGCGTGGCCAAGTTGCATCGACAATAACAGCAACGACGACGACGACGACGACGGTAACGAGCGTGGATCGCCTGCGATGCGCTCGCCAATAAGACTCGAGCTTAATTGCCCGCCTGGTTGGCCACGCCGTGTTGAGCGTCGTTTCGAAATTCTGCGACCGTTTCCCGGCCGCATCGTCTTTCACCACGCCCGGTTAAGTTATGAAAAGGGACCAGTCGGATTGGATGAATAGGACGACGGGCAAAAAGAGAAACGATCGACCGTGAGGAAACATGGAAAAATCGGTCCGTGCCATTTTTGCCACGGTTCGAGCGAATTTACTGGGCAAAATTGGTGGCGGCCAGTGTGGCAAGCAACGTGCCCCATTATTATTCCACCGCTACGAGCGGACATTGCTCGATGCCGAGCGGTTAAGGAACGAAGAAACGGAGGTGGCACGGCCGCATTATAATCGGGTTGCGTCACGATAATATCAACTGAGAAAGCGGAAACGATAATTCGCCGGGCGGATAAGCTGCTACAGTTCACCTCGCTGCCGGCTCGCTCGCATTTTCTCTCCACCTCCGCCGGATCGTTGCACCTGCGTCTCCGACGTAATTTCGTAATTTTCGTCGCGAAATTTGATCGCGTTTCTTCCGATCGTTCTCGAAGAAAGCCAAACGACGAAGAGAGTTGCGAGACGAGACGATGAGCTAATAGGCAGTTGGAAGACGCGGCGGGACGAGCAAAAAATTGGTTAAGAGGTATTAGTATAAATTATCGCTCATTCGCGTGACCTCGGCTGGCAATGCCATAACGACGGAGATCGTGAAAAAAACGGGAGACATTACACTCGCGAAAAGAATCGCATTCACGAGGGGAGAAGATATTCCTCGTTAAATCGCGCAATTTCCCTTCGAAAACTACCCGTTGCTCCCCCCCCCCTCCCCCTTCCCTCCCCTCCTTCTCCCCCCGCTTCCAATTTCTCGGATCTATCCGAGGATAATAATAATAATAATAACGCTTCTTTATTGCATATCAAAATACAAGAACAGAGCGAGCAACAGAGCCGGGATAAAGGATAAATGTAGTTTACCTATAAAAGCGCGTTCGGTGGAGACGCGGCTGCAGCTACGCGCTATTGTAAATTCAACCTTGAACGTAACCAACCGTCGCCGGCTCCAAAGATACGTCGTTGGATAGGTACCTATCCGGTTAAAATGGCGAGGGGGGGGGGGGACAAGCGACGAGGCGGAAGGAGGGAGGAATGAACAAGCGAGAGGAAAAATTCGATATCTCAACATATCGGGAAAATATTTTACAAACGCCGGGTCCAAAGACTGGCGCGATTGTTCCGCCCGGGACATGCAAAGTGTTTTCGAACGATCGGCCATTAACAGATGTCGTCGGGTGATTTCAGGGCGGTGTGCACGATGCTTAATAGCCAGAGCAAGCGCAGGAAAAGCAAGAAGCAAGAAACGACCGAGGGGAGAGAGAGAGCCGAGCGCGTTCGACGGTGAAAACAGGTGAGTAACGGCCGACAGCCCCCGAGTCTGCGAGCACGTTGTGTGGAAGTCGATCTCAGGGCCGTCGAGTGTGGCGAACCACGGATGGTGCGCGGATGGTTCTCCCGTACGAGCAGAGGGTCACGGTCACCAGCAAGGTCGTAGCCACGATTGTGTGCACGGTGCTTAATGCATAGCGCCCGTGAAAGAGGATAATGGGCCCACGAATTTCGCGATACGTAGCCTCGTGCGGCCGCGGCCACGTCCACGTCCACGTCCACTGTGTACACACACAGAGCGCGACCCTTGCAATTACGCTGCGCCGCAAGCTCGTGCCTATCGACGCGGATAAATTGAAAGAAAACATCGTTATCCGACGTTATTTTCAGCCCCCTTTCCTCCTACTACGCCAGATGCCTGCCCGGGGATAAACCACCGGAAAAAATTCTATCCTCGATTGCACGTACGCCGATCCTGCTGCTCCGTCGTTCGAGACGTTCCAGAGACGATTGCCACGTGAAATTATCCCGCGATAATGTGAAGAAAATGCATACCGGGCCGACCTTCCTCCGCGGCTCCCAGCGAAATTCGATCGTTCGGTCAATAACTGACGGTCTTTGCGATCTTATTTTCTTGAATTCGAGTCAATTCATCCGTTCGTACGTTCTTTGTTAAGGAACAGTCGGCTCGAGCGTACAAGTACTGCCTACTGTTGCAGCGCGCTCGATGCCAGCGGGTGCTATTCCTAACTCGAGCATCGCACGCCCGAGTTCACGAAAGCATGGATAATTACCCTCGCGTCTATCGCAGGGGTTCGCATCCAATCGGTCGACTCTACGCTTTTCTTCCAAACTTTTCCGGAAACTGGGCATTTCAAAACCGCGAGCATCGCGTGTAAAAAGGGACAGGTGACAAATCATTTTACCCAAGAAACAAATTGTAATTTGTTCAACCGATGAAAATATTAGAAATTTCGAGACACGACTCTTGAGCCTTCAGACTGTCTAGTATCAGTGGCGTGAAACGCAATCGCTCTGTTCAGACTTCGAATAGCTTGGTCGAGATGATCAAATAACTATTGTAGTGTATTTTTATATAAATAATGTAATTATGACTTCTTTAAAATAATTCAGCAATTTACTAGTTATTGTTACATTGTTATTTGACAATTTAATTTACTCAGTTCAAAAATAATTTACCACTAAAAATTCATTTTTCCATTAGACGTCATTACATTCCTCTTTGCCTTGAAATTTAAAGATAAGATCGTCTCACAATGGAAACTTGATTATCATACTCAAATATAAGTGACGCAGTGATCAATGTGTTAATTAGGCCCTGGTTACTGAAGGTCCTTCTCTATTTGAGAGTAAAACTGTCGCCAGTTGCTCTCGAGAGTATTTCTCGCAAATAGATACTGCTTCTGAGAGTCGCTCAACTGTTTGAGAGAAAACAATGGAGAGAGAAAGAAATGGAGAATACTCTCGCGAGAAACTCTCAAATGACTAGAAATACCTTAAAATGACTAGAATCTAAAGCACTTTCTTCTCCACGATGGAATCGAAACTGCGTCGCTCGCCACTCGGCGACACGAATTCCAGCGAGTTTCACACGAACGAGTGAGAACGGGACGATTATCGCTTGATTCTCCGTCATCGTAGCCGTCTGTGTTTTCTTTACTTTCGTTTCGGCCGCGACGCGATGCGGCGTTGAACGCTTTCTGAGGAACGCGGGTTAAAAAGGGTCGGGGCCCCGACGCTTTTGTCCGACAACTTGAGCGACTTGTCCGTGTGAAAGCGAGGCGCGCACGCGTGTCCGAGTCCCGCCGGGTCCATTCAATCGCAGCCTGTAATTATACGGAGTCGAGGAGACCGAGCATCGATCCGTTTCGAGAGGCGTCGCTGACAATGGAGCCAGCCGCTGCTTCGTTAACCGGCCGATTAAAATAGAATGGACGCTGTCCGTGCATCCGTCAGCCGAATGGCACGCTGCGACGTCCGATTTTGCTCGCTCGAGGATGCCACTTGCAACAAGAGACTATTATTCCGCTTGTTGACGTCCACGGTTCGGGAGAAAACTCGGCAAGCTCGAGCGGAATGCAGCGATTAGAACCTCCGAATAGACGTTTATGGGTCAGGTGATTTCTAACGAGCCTGTCAGATTTGACTGTCTCCGATCTGTTGCGCAATACGCGTTACTTTTCGCAAGAAAAGTGTAATTCAGCGTTGGAAGGTGAAGCGTGGCAAGCAAAGTCTATAAAAGACTCTCACGCTCGAGGAATTATGATACGATTCACGCACACGTGGCTTCTGCGTGCTTCCGTTGCAAACTTGGCTCCACTCGTAGCTCGTTGAAGTTACGTACACACGTGTTTGACTCGGTTGGAACGGTAGCGATTGAAAATTGAAACGTAACTTTCCTCGGGAAAGACAAGCTTCGGAGACACTTGGAAACGCGTGCCGGTGACACGCGTGACAAATCACGCTGACGTTGGTTTACTCTGAGAAGCAGCGTGCCAAGCAGGCAACTTCTTGGCAATGATTGCACGTTTCCTCGACTCGCCGTCCGACCCGCCTACCACCCACGAGATCGCTTTCCATGGGAAATGACATGCGAAAGTGTTCGTCACGGTGGAAAAAGAAACGGAAGCAGAACGAGAAGGAAAGCCACGAAGAAGAAACAGACGGCCGTGTTCGTGACACGCTCTGGCGCACACTTCGTCTAGCTGCTTCCTCGGGGACTGTTCCACCGTGTCCGGTTCTCTGTCGCAGATGTTGCATCTGGGTTAGGAGGTCTCCTCTCTGGACGATACTTGGAAACGGGCGATTTGTATCTATTAAAGTCCACGTCCACGGTGGGTGTAACGTAATTTCCAGCGATCTCGGCAATTTGTACCGGCGTTGTAACGGCGTTGTACAGTGGAAAAAGAAACAGCCGCCGCCGACTAAGCCGCGCGATGACGATAAATTAACGATAATAGAGCCAGTGACGTTGAATTAAGCGCCCCTGTGACACACTAAGGGACCGAGTCTCCTCCACCGCGCCGGATCATATTTGCAAACCCGTTCAGTTACTCTATTTGCATCCGTCGGTATAGCCAGGCAGAGAGAACGTATGTATGTACGTACCGCGTACCGAGATTAACCAAAAAGTCAACCAGGAACTCGGTATCGAGAACGATACCGTATCGTCGTTTGGCAAACACCGAGTTCGGATGCAGTCAGGCGAATTCTTCGTCCATTATTCGCACGCTATGGGGAGAGAGGTTTGTCTCGGTAACCGCTACGATTACGCTACGATTTTAATAGGAGGCCATCATCCCTGACGATCTTCCCACATAAAGTCGCAGCGGGCACGGACCGTGTCCAGACGCGAGCTGTTCCCTGCACGACTTCGCCGATGAATGCAAACCGTCGTGTAATACAATTTTATCCGTAAACACACGATCTTGGGAAATTAATACTCGCTGCACGCCAACTACACGCTAACAGCTGTAGTTACACAGCATTGTGCGCGTTCTCGCATACGCGGCCATGAAAAGTGATTAATAGCAGCCGTGTCGAATCGTCCGCTTATGCTAATCCACGTGAAAGTCATTGCGCCGAGATCTTAATTACTTCCATCGCAATGACGCCGCGAATCTACTTTCACCAAGTCGAGAGAGGTTCCATCGAGTGGGCGATCGATCCTCTCTGCAACGCGCGATCCTCTCGGCCGACGGTCGATTTTTCGTTTCGCTGGTTTCGCGGACCACGCGATGGAGCGTCCAGGCTCCAGCGAACGTGGGACGAGAATGTTGTCCACCTCCACGAACGAGCTTCTTCCTCGCCGAGCTTGTTCGTCGTATCGCGAGCAACGGAGACAGCTCGCACTGGCAACGTCTCAATGTCTCCCTGTTGCTTTATTTTTAATTACGCTCTCGCCAACTGCGGTCTTCTTCCCTGTCCACCGGGCAGATTTATGACCGAGACTGAATTATGGTTCAGCTAGATTTTTGGAAAAAATTCATTCTTTTTGGTCAACTTTTTTTTTTTACTGTGGTGCGACAACGGTACGAGACGAAACGTGTTTCAGTTTGGTTTCGTCGCACAGGGGACCGATTCGAGTCTTTCTAGTTTTCTCAATCTTCTGACCAAGTGCAGCGTCGATGTCTATATCGACTCAGTATTCTCTCTTCAGCAAAGATGACAACACATAATCCCGGCGAATTACAGTTACCCGCGGCGTTCAGGTAACCGTAAAATTTCTTTTGACCGAAAGCATTCGAAACGAGGGAGCTTCCTCTTGTAACAATCGAACGGTGATTTATCTCGGTACCGAATAATCTTGAGAATCGGAGCAATCGTGACTGAACGAATCGAACAGCGTCGCATCTGGCTCTGTTCGTGTAACGACGATGTTTCTGTACGTGCAAAAGGAAGCTGGTTAGGCATCGTCGCGATGCCACGCTCGCCTCGAGGACGACTCGCGATACTGCACAGAACTTTCGACCATTTAGGTCGAAACAATCGTTGCACAAAGTCGCAAAGTGCAGCGACATCGCGACGAGGAAGATACACATTGCCGGCATATCTTGATGTTTTTAATTTCCGAGCAAGCGACGCACGCAAGCACGAGCTACGACGCCAAGTAGTCATTAAGTCTCGTCGTTAAGGGTCAGCTTGGCGTGGCGTTCACACCGAAAGAACCCGTGCATCCCTCGATGGAGTCTCGTGTAATCCTACGAATAATATTTCATTTCCCTCGCTGTGTGTATTAATTCGACGACGAGATTAGTTTGTCACGACGTCGACTTGAGGTCTTACGATCTCGGAGAACCAGACGGTTAGGAGAGTCGTTGATCGCGTTAAGGGCAGAGCGGGGTCTTAAACGGTTCGTGTTAGATTAATTTGGCGCGTCGTAGCCGCCGGATCGAGACAATGCCAACAGTTAGAGAGCTCGAAGACTATAAAGCGGACGATGTAATTACGCGTTGAAAAGGATCCTCGTTCTTCGTGACGCATGCTCGATAATCATCGCCGTGTGTAAGTAAGAACTCGGGGATGAGAAAAAAGTGATATCCGACGAAGTTTCGTTTCAACAAAGACCTGTCATCTGTGGAACATCA